AACCTTCACTTCTCACTCTTAAAAATCAATTTTTGGGGCTGTTTCAATCTTAGCTTCAACCTTTCACCCTGAGTTAGTCAATGCAGGTCAGATACAAAAACCTGCTGGAGAAGATGGGGTTCATGCAGCAGCAGCTGCACCAGAAGTCATCTCAGATACAGATTCGCTGACCTTGTCGCTCAGAGAAGTTACTCGAGACACTTACAACTTGGGAGTAAATGCCAAATATGTTACTATCCATGTCTCTATTTCTTTTTTTAATTACCCCTCTAATTTTTTCTCCCTTAATTTCCTCATAATTCAGCTGTACCTAATTTTTCCTCTTCATCTTTTCCTCTTTTTTTCCCAGTTTTCCTTAGTGAGCTTTCAGTATTTTCTTGTTTTCCTTGTTGCATCTCTCTTGGCCTTTCTTACCCGACAACACACCACTTTTCACCATCACCCTAATGAGTACTGCTGAACAACCCGAGGCCCTGACATACCCCATAGGGTTTTAAAGGGGATACACGCTTTAGGATTTATTACATTTTCAATACCGCCTGTTGAGAGAGATATAGATTTTACTGCCAAATTAACTGCCCAGTGTTGGCAGGGTGTGCTGACATCTGGTATGAAAATATTCACAAGACTTGGGAGACAGTGAGCTGCTGGACCATAGGCTGTTTGTTTGGCCTATCTTTGCATATGCAGAGAATTGCTTAGGGTGCATTGAAGTCTCTAGGCCTTGTTGGAGTTGGAAGCATTTGTGCACTGAGCGAATTCTTGCTCCTTCATATGGACAATACAGGTCAGAAGAAAGAAACTGTTGTTGAACCACAAATTAGACCCCTGATTATGCAGGAAGTTCCCTTTTCTATATCAAATGATGATTCAGGCAGGAGGGGAGCACAGTAACAATAGCTGAGCTACAATATAGAGAGGGGAGAAATTCACCCTTAGTTACCCAGTGAAATGTTCTTGCAGTCGTGAAAAAAGAAATATAACTGCTAATTAGAAAGAGTATCCAGCCAAAGCCTGGAAAAATCCTGTGAGTTCGATTTTAACAATCAAAGCATATGTCCAAATTCACTTTTGCTCGTTTAGCAGAGGGAAAAAGAGTTTGCTGTGCCGGGCACGTTGTTCAAAAGGTTTGTATAGTGTCTTAATTAATCATGGGTGCGATTTAGGCATAACATGATATGCACCAATCAGAGTGAGTTCTCCCATTCCCTTTCATTCCTTTTTCTTGGGTGATTGGACCTCTGTGCAGAGGAAACTGAGCTTGAGTGGGCAGTGAAAGTGTACACATCATATCTGTAACAAGCAGAGTATATGCACATCATTCACCCATAAAGATATGCATACTGTTTTGATAATTTGCCTTTAAAATAACAGTGAAATACTGCACCAGTGACTTCGGAAGTTTTTGTTGGTCATAAAGCACAATTGCCTCCCCATGCCTCAAGATAACAATGCACTTGACAGCACCTTATTTTAAGTCCAACGTGCCCATGGGGGCTTAGATGGGTGCTTGTACATTTGCTATTTAAATAACGTGGACGCTGGAAGGGAAAATAAAATCTAATTGGTTTGAAAGTAGCAAAGACACTTTGCCTTTGGCACCAGTTAAAGATGGATCTCTAGAATCTACAGTCTAAATAGTGTTCTTTATGGTGACCATAGACTGTATATAAAGTACATCAATCAATCAAATTTTATTTGTAGAGCTGATATTCACAAATCACAATTTGTCTCATAGAGCTTAACAAAGTGTAACATCTTCCATCAACAAGAGTGAGGAAAATGTGAATGTTTACAGTATTTATACATAAGAAAATGTCAGTAATGGTACATTCAGGTGCTCATTTACCAGTTTGTTTGGTTTTGTTATGATGCTTTAAAAACAGGGTGAAACGTCATTGACTGACAGCTGAGACTGGCTCACGACTGGTCGAGCATTCAAATCATTGGTTCTTTTACTGCACCACGGCTTCATCCCCAGTAACCATTGATCAGACTCTGGCCCCAAAAAGATGATAGCATTTATATCTGGGATATTTTGGCTTCTTTTCTGGATGGTTGCTGGAAGTGATGACGTGTTGTCCATATATACAGTCTATGCTGGATAATGCCCCAGAGGCTGGGAGCAGAGTGTTCAGAGACAAGGATAGTATAGTCAACATTTACCCTAACTAATTGGGCTACACTTTCACTCAGTAAGATACGCAAGCATCCTGCATTATCCCTGCCTTATGTCCTGCAGTTCTCTTCCTCATACGCCCACTGTGTGACCACAGTTGTACACAGCAGTGTTGTGCAGCTGTGGATAATGCCCCGAGCTGTCCACAACATATAATAATAGTTAAAAGCCTGTAGATGAATGAGTTGAGTTACTGCTCATGGACGCTGTCATGTCCATTAAAATTCTCCAGGTCACCTTGGGAGTGTTGCAGAGTCCACAGAGAACTGTAGAGTTACTGTAGAGAGTTATTACACCGTTAACAAGCTGAAAGAGCAGCCTGTAATGAGCTGTGTAGCCACACTTGCTGCGGTAATGAGGGGGGGGGCTTGTTCGTCACCTCAATGGTAAACCACTGTAAGTATTGAGGCTTATTACTGTATCGATGGAATGACAAGGGCAGGGGAATGAGTTGTGTGGAGCCTGCCAAGTGGGGGACTCTCAAACTGGGCGTGAGAAGTGCTGCAAAGGGTTTTGCAGTGTTAGAGGCTCATGGGAACAGATGAGCTGTCTGTCAAACACAAACACACACACACACACAGAAACACACAGTACACACAGTCCTGTCTTTTCCTTCTTTCTGTCACAGGGTCTCGAAGCAACTCTCCAATTAACCTGATGTCTCTCAAACCGCAAGTGAACCACCAGTGCCTCGATGTCATTCCTACACATACTTGTATGTGGGTCAGAATGGAAATTTCTTCGACTTGTTTCGTTCCATTGTCAATATCTTTTGAATGTGATATAAACTTTACCCTATGAGTCAGAGCAGCAGCAGTCTGAAAGATGTACTGTTATATATACCAGAAAGATAACAATAAATGCCCCAAGTGTGAACTTTGCGATAATATCCTTGATAATTCTGCCACATGAATTTTTCATTGAAATTAGTAGCACAACCATATCATAAGCTTCTCCAGCACCTCAGCAGTCTCTGTTTATTTTTTGCATTGCTGCTTTGTCAGTGTACTTTTCTTTTTCTCTCCAAACTGCCTGTGTTTGTGTAGGTGCCTTTGTCTAAAAGAGCTGAACAAACAAGGATGGCAGGGGAAGAGCCAGGGGAGACAACGGTGTTTTCTCAAATAGATTGAAAAAAAATTACATTTGGAAGTTCTCAAACATACTGTACCCTCATGGCTGTTTGAATTGTATAGTCAAGTGGCTTACCATTATAAAGTGCTGTGTACATATAAGTGTCTCTTATTATATTGGATAAGAAGAGTCTACTGCATGAATGAGTATTGTGAAGGTGATATCTGTGTGGATTGCATCTGTTCCTCAACTGTTGCATGTCCACAGACATGACATCCAAAAGCTCCAGTCCTCATAAATTACAAGAGCCTTTTTGTCTTGATGCCTCCCTCTTCCTGTATTGCTAAAGACAAAAGAAGGCTTTGCATCATCTCCTCAGAGGTTCAGAAAGGTTGTGCTGTCTCATTTACGAGGATCTGTTTATACTTTTCCACCAACCTGCTGAGGTAAAAGGGCAGCAGGAGAAGGATGATGTAAGAACAGATGATCTCCACATGCCAGTTATTCCACGGTAGGAAGTGGCTACAAACTGCAAACTGAATATCAACGAACTGCGTCGACCCTGCCATCGCTGGTTGAGAATTCACAATCGTGTCCAGGGGGTCAAAGCTTTCTATTTGTATCACAGTGAGATAGATTATTCAGTAATGAATACTGCCATGTCAGGATTGTGTCTCTGTAATGATTAAATATAGAAAACAAACCCTGCTTCTTCTGCACAAAGTGAATTCATTTATCTAATTTATTTTGAAATTCTGAAAGAACAGATGCAGCTTCAGATAGGTAGGATATCCCTTATACAATCCCTTTTTGCTACATCAGTGTGTGTCACGCACAGTCACTTTTTGGGCAGTCTCAGAGGGAATTCCTGTGTCGACAGTGGATATCCAGGTCAAGACCTTTCTCCACTCAGCAGTGACAATTTGTTTAGATGTTTTAGGCCCAGACGGCATTTGGACTAATCTTTATGAACAGCTATATTCATACGAATGCAGATAAATTAAAAAGCAGACAGGCGATGCAATAATCGGTAGGTTTACCTGTGGGTAATCAAAGCCTGCTCAAATGTGATTGGTCAAATGAGAAGCTCTTTCGCAGACAGACTCTGCTGAAATCTGAATCTGTTTTTTGAGATCACTGTTTGTCTAAACCACCCTGTCACTTAAGACTTAACGGTCCACCTCTTGGCAGCAGGTGCAGCTCCTGCGTCCTGCGGCCCTATAGGTTTGTTTACGAGCTAAATTTCTCACTGCATAGCGTCAAACCTCAGCTGACGGGCCCTGTTTCACATTCTAACCCATTATGCCACAGCTGCACTGCGTCAACTTAGACGTGCCCTGAACTAGTTTGGGGTGCATCCTTCGTAACTGCATATCTGTGCATCTGTGTCCATGGCATATATATCCACTTTGTTTGTGTGACTTTTGTTTTTGTATCCTTATCTACCCCTATTATGATATTGCCCAACCCTTACAGTGACGCATATGCCCACAGTGCTGTTAACACTGAATGACCTCCTCTGCGTTTGTATTCATGGAATCGTCCTCTTGTTTATTTGCCCACAGATTGATACGGTTTTTTGAATAGAGCACGGGACGGAGATAATAATTTTGACTATGGTGATGAATATCACTGGAATGCAATATCCCGCTACCTGTCTGATTTAGTTATGGAGTAAGAATCTAATAGTCTATTCTCTTTCTTTTTCTTGTCCTCCCTTCTCTCTCCCCTCTATCTGTATATCCACCAGAGAGCCAGCTGCTTCCAGGGAATAACTTCACCACAGAGTGCAACATCCCTGGAAACTTCATGTGTGGAGATGGGAAGTGCGTCCCCGGTGGGTGGCAGTGTGACGGATTGCCCGACTGCTTTGACAAGAGCGATGAGAAGGGCTGTCGTAAGTCCAGTTTCATTCTGTTATCAAATCTTTTTTTGTGTGTCTGTTAGCTGTGCCTTAAAGTATCCAGATAGCCAATTTAGTCATGTCTCCTCAGCTCCTGAACTCCCCTCTCACTGAGCAATATTGCTGTTGAGGTTTTCCTCCCCTCCTCATCCATAGAGCCACAAGGGCCATTTAAACCTAATGCTCTGCCAACTTAAATGAATTTCCCCATTCAATCCTCAGGTCGCTCTCTCCCACAGCGTGCACCCTCCTCCTCCTCCTCCTCCGCCTGCAAGACCCTCGGCCCCAGTTTAGCACCAGGGCAAAACTTAATACCATCAAAGCAAAGACCGATTACTTCTGTGTGCAGATATAGTAGCACATGCATAATTCTACTGTAAGGCTACAGTAATAGTTCAGATTTGATCCTCAATATAAGTGGGGTTTGATCTCTCTGGTCTGCTGCTCCTCCCTTTCCTCTGAACGTCTCAGCAAGAGCTCAGTACAGAGATGCGAGTGCTGATGAGGATTGACTGTGAGGCCCCTGCCGCACTGAATGGAAACCCCACATGATGTGTTACTCTCCTGTTTTTTTTTTCTTCTACCACTCCACACCGTCCCTCTTTAATTCATCTGATGATTTTTGGCATGTAATTTGCTTCACAGAGGCTTGTTTTCAGTTAGAAAAGCATATTGCCAAGAATGCATACTGCAGAGATTTTGTTTCCCTCAAAAAAAACTACAATGGTTTATCCTCCTTTGTGTCGCCTCGTGCTCCTGTCTTTATTCAGCCGTCACTTCTCTCATTGTTGTCTCTGGTTCACAGCTCAGAAAGCAAGCAGACTGCTTTTGACAAAGCTGTGTCCCATAGCATACCATCACACACACAGACACACACACACACACACACACACACACACACACTATAGCCAAACTGTAGTCATCAATCTCTGTAGTTTGTAATGCCTAGGTCATCTTAGTTATACTGTATGCATGAAGGGAAATGTGCTGTCCTCGCCTGTCTTCTTTACTCGGTTACAACTGACATTCCTGTGAGTCTTTCGTATGATCAAACTTCTTAAGTTGATGGGTTGTGTGCTGCAGATTTTCATCACTCAGTGACCTTAAACTGTCAACAACTGTCAGACCTGGATAAGAGATAATAATATTCAGATATATTCAGAGTAACTACCTCAGAATTAAATACAGTTAATGTTCCCGTTCTATCTTATTGCGCAGTTAAAGTGTCAGTTTGTTACATTTTCAATCAAAAACACCTCAAGTGCTTTGAACCTAATGACAGGACTTTTGATGGTTGACACTACATGCAGTACTGCTGTAGATAAAAGCAAGTTATCATAAAGCATCAACGCCAGCCTGCCTCCCTGTTGTCAGAAGTCTATATATGTCTGTTTCTGACATTATCTGCTCTGGCATAAGTGGGTCTTATTATCCTCAGATAGATGGCTATTTGTCAGTCGATATCTCCGGTGACTGCTTCACACGAGTCCCCAGACGGACCTCTGGCTCCATTAGGGGCTCTGCAGGGACAGTCTGACAGACGGAGGGAGGGGGGAACAAGGGAGCGAGGGAAGGGAAGGAGGTAGAGAGGAGGACTCATTACGGTGGCTACAGCAGGAGCTCTGTCTGAATGTCTCTTCTTTGAGAGGAACACAGTGCCTGGAAACTTTGAGACTGTGGCACAGCTCTGAAAGTACAGTCATAATTAGTCACCCCCCTCTAAGAATACACACACGCCCCTGTTTTTATCTATATATATTTATATATACATATTTCTAGATAGAGAGGGATAGCTTAGTCTCCTTCTGTCAGTTAGATGAATAATATATTTCAGAATAGACTCCTTAGAAAATAACTTTTATTAAATGAAATATCACTATGAGACTACCCTGCCTCTCAGTACCAGCTGGGATTGGCTCCATCTCCCCCGTGACCCTAAAAAGATAAGCAGTATAGATTATGGAAGGATGGACGGACTTTCAGACTGACTTTTATATAACCTAGTATGAAATCAAACAGGGTATCTGGTGACGTCTGCTCACTTGTGATTACCATGGAGGCAGAGCAGTTTTGACCACCACAGGATATAACATTTCCTCCCATCTGTAATATGAGCAGTTGGCTTCTGCCTGGAGGTTTCCCAGAACATTTGTTTTAATTCACCATCAATGTGTTTTTTTTTCCTCCACCTCTTTCAATAATTAGCCAATTTTTAATGTGCCAGTAATGAGACTGTACTGTAGATCATTAAAGAGTTATATTTTTAGAAACCCTTCCTTGCTTCTCTTTCTATTCTTTTTTCTGTAGCAGTTAGGCGCTGTTGGACAGTTTGTGCTTTGTAGCCAGGCATATGTAAATAATATTCTTATTTATTTATGAAATGTTTGTGGGAGCATTAAATTCTCTGACACATCTTTTGCTGTGGGACCCGTGCCTATTTTTACCACACGAGTTTGCACCAGAAGACAGCTGTAGTTAGAGAGTGGAGATCCCCTGTTAAGCAGACTGTGCTGATGTACGTGTCTCTGATACGAGGAATTCGTCTGCAGAGCTCAAAATAAAGGTCATACTTTATGTGTCTCTGTCTCCAAAACAAGAATTTTGTTTTTTGAACCACTGTGGTAAAATTTGCAAACACTAAAGTGAACAAATCAGTTATGCAAATGACTTGGCAGGACCTGTTCAAAAATTAATTTTCATTTGAAACTGAATGAAATTTGTAAAACTTTAACACACTCACCTGCACATATGGGGTTGCAAGTGTCCAAACCAGTATTAAAGTGTGTTGGAAGAGAGAACCACCCATACAGGAACTTGTGATCCACTTTCTGGCAGATTCTCATTTCTTACAGTTGCATTTATCCCTGTACTTCCAGTGGTTTCATTAAGGAGGTATGCAAACCTGGTCTACTTGTGTTTACCTGTGTCCTTTATTTATGTAGTTATTGTTGATGTGTCCTCGTCTGCTACACCTCGTAGGTCAGGAATTGTCTCATGAATGTTTAGGAAATGTTAACTGATCTAGAAAAGAGAGGGTGCGTTTGAATAGATCATTTTAGGAACCTTCCTAGGTATTTCGAGGGTATTTCAGTGACCGCCATAATAATAGCTATTTGATATTCCTAAAGGATAAGGAAAGAAGCATCAATTCTTCCTAACTTATCTAGCATGAGACATCGCACCATCCTTTACGACAGGAAAGAAGAAATGCTGCCCCACAATTCTTTGCTGCAGCAACATTTAAAGTGATACAACCTCGTTGTTGCACCTGGAAACACCTACGGAAATATTAAACAGACCAGCTGTTTTATTCTCCTGACATGCTCCAGAACTGATGTAAAGCAGAGTAGTCCATAAAAAACAGAAAGGATCTGTTTGGTCCTGGCCTCACGCAGCCACTGTCTTTCCCTTCCACCCAACGCTCCTCTCCTGTTTGTTGCTTGTTCTGGTCCCTTCTGGCACAAGGGTCAGCTTGAGTCATGTAAATATGTTTTACTGCCTTTTAAATAACATTCTGGGCTGTAAGAAGAGAGGCAACAGCTCCAGCCTGAGTCTTATTGCATTAAAGATGCAGCTTATTGTATTACTGTCTTGCTGCATGAGGCCAGGACCCCCTTCAGATCCTTTTTATCAAGTATATGTTTTATGGACTACTCTGCTCCACATGAATTTAACTACATTTTAGATGAAAATCTGTATAATTTATTTAATTTACAAAGTGTATCTCCATCTGCTCTATGTGGGTACATTTGTGTGTGTTTACATGTTGCCAGGTCTGAAGGGGATTTCAAGCAATGACTCAGAGAGAGGCTGCTGACTAATTCCCCACGCAAAAAGGTCAAAAGTACCATCCTGCTCTCTGGTGTCCATAACGACAGCCTGGGAGACTGTTAGACAAAATGCATACTGACAGAAGAGAGAGGGAGCAGAGCTGACTGAGCTTACTGGGCCTCATAGCCAGGATTAGCCTCTTTGCCCTTGTCTGGGCAGGGCATGAGCAGGCGAGCTAGCAGAGATACATAGTAGGGGTGAAAGGGTGAGTGGTCATGATGTGTAAAGCAAGACATGAGGAATCAAAGACGGGGGGAGGCAGAAATGCTGTGCAGAAGAAAGACAAGAGAGGCACATTTCAATGAAATGACTATTCTGTAGTAGAAGTGCTGCAGGCTGAGGCTGTGGCCTTTTTGAATTATACACTTAAAAACTCCTAAGAAAGTTGTGCTTGAACTTTTAATTGGAGGGGCCTCTCAGCATGGTTAGTGGCTCCTAACGAAACAAACATCAGAATACATCTACTACACAAAAGGGCTGCTCATCTCCTCATGTAACGCTCAAAATCAAGTTGTTCTCGCACGTCAGCATAAAGCAAGGCAATCAAGGTGGTATTGTTACTTGTTGTACTGCTTGTACTGTCTATTTTGTTCTGCAGACCATATTTTCCATAAAAAATATCAGGATTGGGGTGAGTCTAGGCGAATTTCTTCTCTCTAACAAGTCTCTTTTTCTTGTGAAATATTGTATGGTTTCAGTCCTCTGGGCGTTAAAACCAATACTATAAGAAGAAAAAAAAATATTCTTCCATTTCAAGAGAGGCTGATTTAATAAGCTGTAAAATGCATCATTTCTCACTTGAATACTCTCTGAGGTTTAACTTTATTTTGTTTGCATGTCCAGGAGCTTTTTGTGGAAAATGTTGCTTTCAGACCTGCACTGATATTTTCCAATCTGTGAGAATGCAAATATCCGAGTCCATGTGTGTGAGCCCATGTGAGACTACAGGAAAATGACATTTATGACTTTTATGTACTGATACATGTAGAAGATGCTGACAAAGATGTCCACTCAGAAAGAGGACAATATTCTCCTGCATGCTCTACCCAGGCACCACCGCTCGCCTGAATGTTCTGAATGAGACTTATACGGAGAATGAACTGGTGCGTTCTTCATATGAGGAACACAAGCTCTGTAAAATTTTCGAAACCAATTTTCTGCCG